TTTTGCTAAAGAGGCTCAAAGAACAGTTTCCAGTTGTAATAACTTCTGTCTAATATATTTTTAAAGATGCTCTTTCTTTTTTTTTTTTTTGTTGTCCACCTCAATTTCAGGTCTTTTTAAAAAAATTTCTTGAACTTTGTTTCCTGTTTTGACTACTCCTACTGAATTTGTCACAGTTTTGCTATTGTTTGTTTTCATATTTTTTCTTACTGTCAGACCTTTTTGTTGTCCTGTCCCGTGTTTTTGCCTCATCTCGACCTCACATAGCAGGTCAAGTGTTCTTCCAGGAAAACCCCTCCCAGTTTAAATCAAGTTTATCTCTCTAATGCCACTTGATCCTTGTCGTTTCTTCATTATTCATTTGTATTTTATTTTATTTTATGTTTTTTGTTCTGTCCGATCTATGGGGTGCCATTTGTAAAGTCAAACAGTCATAATCTAACAGCAATATTTTTGGTTATTTAGCATATCATAAGAGAAAAAATTGAGAGTTCACTTTTTCAAAGTCATATTTTCACCATGTTATTCATACATTTATAAATGTTAAAGTTTCCAAATAAATATTTAGTTAGCACGCTAAATATTTAATTTATAGTTAAATATTTATGTTGCAAACTAAATATTTAGGTCTGATCTAAATACTTAGTTTGTAAAATAAATATTTAATTCACTAACTAAATATTTAATTTACTAATTAAATATTTATTTTGGAAATAAATATTTAAAATTTAAATTAAATATTTAATTTGTAAATTAAATATTTTCCAAAGAAATATTTAGATCCCAGCTAAATATTTATTTTCCATGATGTTATTTAGCTCCACACTATAGTTTATATTTTTGGGTCAGACTTAAATATTTATTTCCCAAATACTGATTTTGCAAACTAAATGTTTAGCTCCAAAATAAATATTTAGCTGGGATCTAAATATTTATTTCGGAAAATAAATATTTAATTTACAAATTAAATATTTAGTTCCAAAATAAATATTTAATTAGTAAATTAAATATTTAGTTAGTGAATTAAATATGTATTTTACAAACTAAATATTTAGATCAGACCTAAATATTTAGTTTGCAAAATAAATATTTAACTGCAAATTAAATATTTATCTTGCTAACTAAATATTTATTTGGAAACTTTAACATTTATAAATGTATGAATAACATGATGAAAATATGACTTCGAAAAAGTGAACTCCCAATTTTTTTCTCTTATGATATGCTAAATAACCAAAAATATTGCTGTTAGATTATGACTGTTTGACTTTACAAATGGCACCCCATACCGATCAGCCTTTTTGTTTTGTTAGTAAAGTTTTTGATCCTTAGTTCAGTATTTTTTGGTTCCTCCGACAATACAAAGAGCACACCAGACATTTTCCCCTTTAAACCTGTTAAAACTGATTCACTGTTTATTTTTATAGCTTTTAATTGATTACTTTGGGTTTATTTCACTAACAGACAAAAATCGTATCTTCTGTGAACAGAAAAATCTTTTGCTGCAACACTGACCGCTACTGGGGGTCCTTCCTGCCAACAGCCATTGTAAATAATATACAACAACTCTTTGACGACTTGATTATTATTATTATTCTGAGCTACTACAGCAATCAATTTCCCTCTGGGATTAATAAAGTATTTTTGAATTGAATTGAATTGAATTGAAAAAATACTTACAGTAATGTGCAAATGACTCTATTTATGAATTCTTGCTTTGGAAATGGGAGCAATGTGCCAGAGATTCTTTGTGGGGAGGCATTGGTGACCTGTCTGTTAGCTGGAACACCGGTGTTTAAAAGTCTGGAAGTAATTATAAACACATTCAATCTTAGAATGATGGAGGTACTGGTTTTTTTTTTTTTACCCCAAACTGTGCCTCAACAGGCCCCAGGCGCCTCTCTCTCTCTCTCTCTGGTTGTCCTACTTTGAAATCACACTAACAGTCTAAAGATATAATTCAACCTCAGTTGTTCAAGTCAGTATCTTGTGTTAAAGGGATACTAGGCAGACCCTCTTGTGTTCATTAGTGAAACCAAAAGTGAAATGTATCTCCTCGCTGTGCTTTCGTCTTGTTAAAACCTTCATGCTGCTCCCCAGCCTTCATTAAGTTCATCATCAAATCAAACAAATCAGCTGTGTTCACGATCTAAAGCATGCAGGAAACATGCTGGAAGCAGACTGCCTCGTCAGGCATGTTAGCTCCACTTTACTAAGTCCAACAGGTATTGGACCGACAACTCTGAATTTGCAAGTGCAGTATTCTGAGCACAGAGGGCGGTGGGGGTCTGGGTGACATTTCATCAACCCTGTAAAGGGTCATTTTAGCACATACTGGCTCAAAAATGATTTAAAAATATGAAGAAGTTGAATAGCATGCCTTTAAAGAAATAAACAAAATCTGCTCAGTCTTTATGGTAAATTAGCGCGAAAACTCATCTGTTATTACCTGATGAAGCAAGTTTATATTTATGTTTATGTATTTAGCAGACGCTTTTGTCCAAAGCGACTTACAAGTGATAATCGGCATTTTGCCCTTGAGGCTAACAACAACAATAACAACAACAACATTGACATAAGTCATGGAGAGGAGGGAACAAGGAGTGGACAGTAGAGAGGGGGGACGGGTGCAGGCAAGGTGCTAGTTAAGAAGATGCTCTCTGAAGAGCACGGTCTTCAGGAGTTTCTTGCAAGTTGTTGCATAATAGGAATTTTATTCTTATTTTTCCTCTACTTGTCCCATCTGCACAAGGGCAGAAATCCCATTTCAATTTTTGGGGGGGACAATAAGCAGTAAAACTTCAGAGAGTAATTTTTTGGGGGGTGGGGTGGGGGGGGGGGGCATGAAAAAAAAAAGCTCTCTACATACAACACTGTATGTCCTTATAAGAGACTGACCTGAGACTCTGTGCCTGTGTCTGACAGGCTCTGGCTGCCTGTGCTCAAGTGACTGGACTTTGCCTAATGAAACCGTTTAGAAACAATTTCATTCCTTTCTTATAGATGTCTTTATCAAAATGCAAGTTTCTACTTACTTGACGTTCTGGAGCATTAAAAACCGACCTGATGGCTGCCGTTTTTCGTTTCTCTGCCATTCCAACTGACCTGGTCTGCTGACAGTTGGACAGCAACACACACACAGATGGGATATTGTCATTAGAAAGGACATGGAGGATATTGATCAACAATAATATCTTGCCAATTTTGTACGTCTCCATAAGCATCCTTTCTTTTTGTTTTCATTTCAATAACAAGACTGTGGCCTAAAACGGAATAAGCAATTCAGAATAAAGATTTAAAAGTAGATCATTAATAGTTGAAGCAGCATGTCCGGAAATGACGTGGCTATTAGCTGACCAGCAGCTACACGTGTGGACGGATGCAAAGCATTAATTTTAAGTACTAAAACATATCTAACTTTTTCACAACAAAGAGAGAGAACATAAAATGTCAAATTAAAATTTTATTAAATCACATAACATGAAAGCTCCTAAAATCCAAATAGTTCCATATTGATTTTAATATATTTGAAATTTTCCTTCTAAATATGTCTAGAAAAAAAAAAACTTCAAATCAGCTTTCACAAGTCAAGTATCAAAATGACTGAAATCTCTTTAATAAATCATAGAAATGTTTGTAGGCTATTAGAGAATAACTCTGTAATATTTAATAACTTTATCTAAGTCCTACTGAACGAAAAGATACACGAAATCTAAAAATATATTCTTGAAATATTTGTTTCATTTCAATAATAAAAATTAAAAACATTTACTTTAAAATACACTAAACATATACATACTCTGTAGTTTATCTTTCAGTTGAATCGATCTCTCACTTTTCTCAGTTTTCAGAGTGTGTTTGGGTCTGTGTGGCCAACGGGATCTTTGGCTCTATGTTTTACACTGAGAGCTTTGAGCAGCATGCCTCCACCACACATTTGCTGCTACCAGCTCATCCCTAAGCTGCACGGAGCACCTGCACTTTGACATATTGTAAACAACTGCAGAGCCTGGGGAAGACGGGATAAGAGCGGTTAAACGCCGTGGTTTTCTGTACATCGGACCAGTTAGTTTTGATTCTACCGTGTTCATCTGCTAAATAGAATGAAACACGGACATTTTCATCGATCTATAAATGCTCCGCAGATTCCAGGGGCAGACGGTGAAAGCGTACGTGTCCGGAAAAAGGAACTTTTGATCACCTTAGTGAATGGAATAATAATAGCGGAATAATCCTGGAATGACCAGAGAACATGAAGTGACAACTTTTTTTTTTTACTGTGGTGGTGGTGGTCTGTCATAAAGGGATCTCCGACCGGTGATCAAAATCTAAAGATAATCGGTGTCTATGTTTGACGTTTATGACCACATCTGACATACATGTTTAAGTTTGTAGAACAAGCGTGTGATAAATGACTTACTGCTGGAAACCGCTGGCTTTTTGATTCCCGCCTCCTGTGAGCCTGTGGGCTGCTGTGAAGCTGTGAGCGAGGCAGAGCCGGCAGCCCCGCCCGTTGGAAACAGCGCGTGTGGACCGACCGTACCAACTTGAGGAATTATAGGGGGTGGACTATAATTTCTCAACAATTAAAAACACATTGTTTTGTATTTGCAGACTAACTTTTACGCTGTGGTTTTAGAAGACAATACAGGTTTACTGATAGCATTTATGTGTTTACAATAACTTTTGTGGGGTGGGGGGGGGCAACTTTGTGTGGGGGGGACGCGTCCCCCCCCGTCCCCCCTGGGATCTCCGCCTCTGCATTTGCATGAGACATAATGCAGAGCGCAAATTCATAGCTAAATATATACTAATTGAAACAAGACATGCACACAGAAAACAGCCTTCATAGAGTTTCAGTTACCCTCAAAACCAACTAGAACCACAGTTAGTTTTGCTCCTGGCTCATGATGGGTTTCACTTACACCAGCTGAGTTCAGCTGGAAGGACAGAACAAAAACAAGCCCACGTTTCTAAATCTTGCCTCTGTTTCTCTTCAGCGTCATGGCTGTCTCACTCTCCTACGACCTCTTGCTCTTACTGGTGATATCCTCCCTGGACTGGTCCCTCTACTCCAGGATCTGCGTTTCTCACTGACCACAACCGCATGACGTCATCAGGTGAGTTTCTGCTGTTTTGTTTTAGGGGAAAATATGACACGGGGATGATGTGAGATGAATCATTCCCCAGACCGTTCATCAAACTCTCCGTGCCTGCTCGATCACCTATTAACAAATCCGATTTTATGCTCAACAGGCTGTTGACACTTGTTATCGTCTCTTATGTCAGACACAAGTTGCAGCATGCCGTGTTTGCTCGGATGCATGTGGAAAAGTTTCACGTTGAGCAAACGCCTCGCTTTCCTGACTTGGCCTGCCATGCTGTTTGGCGATCGATAGAGCCAGAGTAAACATGTGGCTGGGACGTTGCTGCCAAAGTCCAGGGACAGAGCGATGCAAGATGTTCAGCCAGCTAATCCAGTTGTCACTCAACGATTTGAAATAATTGGGTTAAAGAATGCTGTGGCTCATGACACAGGCCAGACTTTTTTTATTTATATATAAAATATACAGGGCTGCACGGTGGCGCAGTGGTTAGAGCTGTTGCCTTGCAGTAAGAAGGTCCTGGGTTCGCTTCCCAGCCTGGGATCTTTCTGCATGGAGTTTGCATGTTCGCCCTGTGCAATGCGTGGGTTCTCTCCGGGTGCTCCGGCTTCCTCCCACGGTCCAAAAACATGACTGTTAGGTTGACTGGTCTGTCTAAATTGTGCTTAGGTGTGAGTGTGTGTGTGTTTGATTGTTTGTCCTGTGTCTCTGTGTTGCCCTGCGATGGGCTGGCACTCTGTCCAGGCTGTACCCCTCCTGATTGCCCGTTGACCACTGGAGATAGGCACCAGCCCCCCCCCCCCCCCCCCCCCCCCCCCCCCCCCGCGACCCCACATGGACAAAGCGGGTTCAGAAAATGGATGGATGGATAAAATATACAGCTTACGATCCCTTAAGCCAAAAGAGGCTAAGATAAATCGTCAGATCAACCATAAATGGTGTTTTTTCACATAATTATAACAGCTGAGGCTAAAAGTCATAAAACGTACTTAAGTATCATCTTCATTTAGTGGTCAAACCAGAATTAGGTGAAGAGTACAACCTTGGCTGAGGAAAGGGCTGATCTAGAGTCAGTATTGAGTTCTTACAGCTTCTAAAAGACGAGAACTTGTTTGTTGATGACTTCATCAGAACTAGAAGTCGACCGATATTGGTTTTTCTATTGTCGATACCGATGCCGATATGTAGGAGACATGGTCAGCCGATGACTGAGATGTACTGCTTTTCTGAGCCAATTTTCATTGCCTATAGTCATTTTCCACTTTGTTTTCATGCTAAAATGTTACTAGTAACATCAGTTGAAGCAAAAAGTTTCTGATCAATCAATCAATCAATCAATACTTTATCAATCCCAGAGGGAAATTAGAGTTCCAGTACACACAATTCAGAGATC